AGCTTATCAGGAAAAAAGAGACAAGAGCCAAAGTAGCAATTTCAGATATGAGAGAAATGGCATCTTTATAGATCCTTCAGATGTTAAAATGATAATGAGGGCAATGTTATGTCCATAAATTCAACAATTTACAAGAAATCAACAATTTCCTTGAAAGACACAAACTACTAAAGATCAGTAAATGAGAAGTAGTCTGAATAGCTCTGTATCTATTGAAGAAAATAAATTTGCAGTTAAATAAATTTTCTTTCAATAAATAAAATTCCAAATCCAGATGGCTTTACCTATAAATCATACCAAGTACTTTCAGAAAATGGAATAGGAGGGAATGCTATCTTCTGACTCATTCTGAGAGGCCAGCAGTACCCTGATTCCAAAACTAGACAAAGACATTACAAAAAAAGAAACCTACAGCCCAAAGTTCCTTGTGAACATCAACAAAAAAATTCTAAATAAAATTTCAGCAAACTGAATTCAACAACATATAAAAAATGATATATCATGACCAAGCGAGGTTTGTCCCAGGGATGCAAGGTTGGTTTAACATTTTAAATCAATATAATTTAAAATAGCAACTTGTAAAGAAAAAGTCCAAGTGATCATTTCAATAGATATAGTAATTGACAAAATTCAACATCCATTCATGATTTAAAAAAAAAAAAATTCTTAGCTAACTGGCCATAAAAGAGAACTATGTTAATCCATAATGACATGGATGCTTACATTCATAAAACTAGGAGCATGGCATGGTTATTTGCTCTTGGCACTTCTATTCAACATTGTACTGGAAGTTCTAGCCATTGCAATATGAGAAGAAAAAGAAACAAAAACATCCATGTTGGAAAGGAACAGGTAATACAGTTTTTATTTGCAGATAATATGGTTTTCTAGGTAGAAAATACAAAGAAATATGCAACTAGAGTGAATTAAAAGTCTTACAAAATATCCTTTGCAATAGGATAAGAATGTTAAATTTTAGATGTAAATGTAACTAGTGACATCAATACCTATACATTAAAAACTATAATACAATATTGAGTGAAATTAAAGACTTAAATATACAGAGATAATACTGCATTTATGGGTCAAACAACTTAATCTTTTTATGATGTTAGTTTTCAGCAAATTGATAATTCAAGTCTAATGAAATCCCAATGAGCTCGTTCTAAAATTCTTAAGGAAATGCAGGGACCTACAATATCCAGAAGAACTTTAATAAAGAGACAAAGAGTGAGTTAACTAATACCACCTTACTTCAAAATGTATTGCTAATCTACAGTAATCTAGACACTTTAGTATTGATACCAAGATAGACAAACAGATAAATGAAAATGAATAGACAATTCAGAACAAATACACACCTGACTTTTGAAAAAGATGCAAAGACAATTCAATAGAGAAACAACTTTCAACAAAAGATGAAAGTCTTCTAGTCTTTTCAACAAAAGGTGCTGAAGTAATTATTTATTTATATGTTCACCGGCAAAATGATAAACTTCAATCCATACCTTGCACCAGTTTTAAAAATTGACTCAAAATGGGTCATTGACCTCAAAAAACTATTTTAAAACTGCATAAGCCTCCCGAATTTTGTACAATGCTCACCTCCAGTGATAATTACAGCAGAATAACTCAGTTGTTTTAGTTTGGCATTAGTAATTGTCATCCCTGAATAATGTGTTCATAAAAACAAAGCATATGCATTTTAATTTGTATGTGCCCATGAAAGAATGGAAGAAGGTGAACAAAAACTAAATGTAACTAATGGCCTGCTTTAACCTTACAAGATCCTATTTTCAAACAAATAGCCAGTTGAGTTTCTTTTACCCAGTTGTTGCAGCCCACATTAGAGTGGGTATTTTTTTAATTGATGCCTCATCAAATCTAAAAACATTTTTTTCTTCTAATGAAGTATATGTTAATATAGTGTGTAATAAATTACCCAGGGCATCCATAGTCTGTGGACTGAGCAGTACAGTTCTTAGCCTCTCTTCAGATTGTCATACAGAATTTATAAGCTTAAAATGTATTGATCATGTAAAACCTTTTTGTCAATTTCCATTCCAGATTAAAAACTCACTGGGGACAGAAACTTTCTTTGTCATCTTTTATTATTCTTGCTTAATATCACACCATAGGTGCTGCATAAATGGTACATGAACCAAAAATTTTATATCTGATCAACAGCCCAAATATTGACTGAGAGAGCTATATGTAGTCCTGAAACGACTAATTGAGAAGACTGTGTCTTTGGAACAATTACACAGGGCATCTAGTAAAAGTCATTGAACATGATTCTGGTCTCACTATTCTTAAAGGATGAATAAAACTTTTGAAAATGATCTAGAGAGCATAAAGTCTATGAATCCTTGAGCTCCTCTTTCTCAATATAAAATGTAGACTATGAAAGGGAAAAGAAGACATGTTCAATTAAGAACTTGATTCCTAGGCAAGGAGTGTTTTTCTAGACAATATTTTAAGGTGAGCAAAATGATGAGCTCATAATGGAGAAAAATGGAGCTTCAAGGATGTGGGAAAAATCACTTATTAAGAAGTCTGCCAGATGGAACAGCTGAAAACAGATCGGGTATTCTAAAACATACAAATAAATTTAGTTATCCTAAAGTGACCTGGAAAGAGGAGTAATAACAAAGAAAATTCCCAATAGGTCACACTGGAAATATTTTTTAAAAGCGAAGAAATACTTAAGATCACAGAAGAAGGTACAACTTGGTTATATGTGTGCATCTAAAGCTATTACTGAGATCTAACTAATATGATAGGATTGACTACAAGAATTTTGTCTTTAAAAAGTATAGGCAAGTGCTGTCTAATGGAACTATAATGTGAGTCACGTATGTAATTAAGCATTTTCTAGTAGCTACATTGTATAGTAAAGAATTTGATCTTGCCCAAAGAGAGATTTACCTTATGCCTTTGCTTCTAGGAGGTAATCAATGTCACACCTGATAGGAGTGCCTTTGTTTAGGGTAGGGACCATCCCTACCAGATCTCAACATGTAACTGGATAAACAAGTTGCAGTATATCTACAAATTGGAATATTAGTAATGATAAAGAATGATAAAGGTAGATCCAGGCACACCCAATATTCTGAGAGTGAGCCCTGGCCATGCCAGAAAGACTGACAGAGTGATTTAGTAGGAGCTTTGGGTCAAGCTGACCTGGAGACTGACTTCAGCTCCATGGGAAATCAATCAATCATGCCTATACAATGAAACCCCAATAAAAAAACCCTTGATGCCAAAACTTGGGTGAGCTCCCCCTGTTGTCAGTACACCAAGTGAACACATTGAAACCAGGGGAGTAACATGTCCCTAGAACAATGAAACTTTCATGTTTGGAACTCTCCCAGTCTCTGTCTTATGAGTCTCCTGCTTTGGTTGATTTCAATCTGTAAACTTCCCTCCAATAATCCATACGTTTAAGTATAATCGCTGTCAGTAAGTTCTGTGAGTGCCTTTACAAAATTGCTAAAACTGAGGGTGGTTTTGGAAAGCCCCTGAGTTCACAATTGGTGACCAAAGGGAGGGTGTTTTTTCCATTAACTTTGTAGTTGGATTCTAACTCCTTGCAGTTGGTGTCATAAGTCATGGACACACTTGGCAATTTGGAGAATTATGTCTTCAACCTCATAGTTTGGTTAACTACAGGCACACATTAATAAAGTAAAAAGAAACAACTGACTTGACATTATTGATATATTTTATTTAACTCAATATATTTAAAGTATTATTTCAACAGATAATAAAATAAAAATTATTAATCAGCTCATTTTTCTAAAGGCACTATAAAGAGAATGAAAGAATAAGTCACAAACTGGGAGAAAATATTTGCAAAACATGTATCTAACAAAGGACTTGTCCCCAGAATATGTAAAGGTCTCCCAAAATTGAGTAAGAAACTTTAAACAATTTCTTTAATTGGCAAAAGGGTCAAATGAACACTTCATTAAAGAAGACACATAATTATCAAATATGTACATAAAAAGATGCTCAACATCATTAGACTAGAAAAGTGCACATTAAAACCACAATACGCACTGTACCCATATTAGAATGACTATAACTAAAAAGACTGATTATACTAAAAGTTGGTAAGGATGTAGCGGTCCTGAAGCTTTCAATCACTGCTGGTGGGAGTGTAAAATGGTACCTTGGAAAAAAGTTTAGCAGTTTTTTAAAAAATTAAATATATGCTTACTAATATGACTCAGCCATTTCACACCTAAGAATTTACTCAATTTAAATAAAAACATATGTCCATACAAAGGCTTGTACATGAAGATTCATAGCAGTTTTATTTGTAATGGTCCTGAATTGGAAACAATCCAAATATCCATCAACATGTAACTGGATAAACAAGTTGCAGTATATCTACAAATTGGAATATTAGTAATGATAAAGAATGAACTCTTAATACATACAATGACATGGATAGATTTCAAATAATTACATTGAGTGAAAGAAACCAGATGAAGAAGAAGGGTTAAAGGGGCACAGAGGTAATTTTGGGGAATGATGAATATATTTATTATCTTGATTTGTGGCTCTGGTTTTATGATTACAGTATATACATATGTCAAAACTTATCAAATTGTACACTTTAAATGTGCAATCTATTATATATCCATTATACCTACCTAAAACTACTTAAGATTAAAATGTAAAAATGTATAAAAGTACATATAATTTGTACCACTCTGTGGCCCCTTATTTAAAAAAACAAAAAGAAACTTGAAAAGGCAGTCTCTGAAATACAAGACTCTGTAAGGTGGAAGAAGGCAACAGAAAACCTTGGTCTGTGAGGATCCTGCTAGGAGCAGAGATGATTCTCAATATGTCAGGCATATGGAGTTAATTAATGCTTTTTCTCTTCCCCTATCATTTGATTCAAATGAGGTTTAAAGACTGTCTTGGAAATAACAACTGGAGCCCTACCCAAAGTAGGTAAGACATCATCAGAGATATCCAGCGCTTACCTTTGGGAATTCCCAGCAGAAGTGAGATGCAGGGAGGGATGATGGGACCCATGGGAGAGGGGCTGTCACAATGAATCAGACACAGCTTCAGAACTGAAGGAAGGAGGGGACTGATGGCTCCAGATGCAACTTGCAGCTGTCGTGGGAAACCAGCCCAGCCCAGCTACCATGGTGCTGTGTGTGCCCTGAAGGAGAAAGGGGGCAGTGTATGTGAACTGAAAGGACTTATTCACAGAACTTGGTAACACTTTGGGATCTGAGCCACCCAGCTGGGACACGCTGTTGGTCTGAATTGCACCACCCTCCCCATTGAGTGTAACAGTTCACCTCCTTATAGACTATGGAGCTGCCATGCCTCTATGAGCACCCAGGGCATCCTCTGCCTTCTGTGAATCTCCTGTAGGGCCATCTCAAGGTGGAGCAAAGAGAATCCATCCCAGTTCAATGAGATGAGCAGCAATGGGTTGCGTTTCACAACAATGAAAAGGCTCAAGGACAAGAAGACAGCTGTGTCCATGAGCCCTAACAACAGGGGTCCAAGCAATAACCCTGTGCTCAACCCTGCCTCCCACCACCAAAGCCCTTCCTTGAGAAAAACAGAGAGAGAAGTGACATTCCCCTCTGTATTAGTCTGTTCCAAACTGCTAATAAAGACATATCTGAGACTGGGTAATTTATAAAGGAAAGAGGTTTAATGAACTCAGTTCCACATGGCTGGGGAGGCCTCACAATCATGGCAGAGGCAAAGGAAGAGCAAAAGGACATCTTTCATGGCAGCAGGCAAGAGACAGAACTTGTGCAGGGGAACTCCCCTTTATAAAATGATCAGATCTCTTGAGACTTATTCACTATCATGAAAACAGCACGGGAAAAACCTGTCCCCATGATCCAATTACCTCTTACCGGGTCTCTCCCATGACACTCATGGATTATTACAATTCAAGGTGAGATTTGGGTAGGGACACAGAGCCAAATCATATCACCCTCTTTTCTTCATAAAAGCAGTCTTGACCAAGGTCCCTTAAAAGTGATCTACTCAGAAGTGGCAGTGACAGATTTGCAGCTCTGTAGCATTAAGGGCAGAGGGTTCTGCAAGAAGAAGCCATGGAGTGAACAGTCAGGCGAGGAGCCACACATACCAGCAGCTCCGGAGTCCTTGCCAGGCTGCTATAACAGCAAGGGACAACCAGGACCAAGTCCTGATGACTTTAAGGAAACCTCAGCAGAATTTCCAGAAACACCTGGAGGCAGGAAACTGCAAATCTATTCATGTACTTTATATATAAATATATGGTGACTATGTAAGTTTTAGTGTTAATATGATGCATTTCTACTCTTAGGCTGGAAAATAACTGAAAATAACCTAAATTATTATCTCAGTGAATACAAGTATATTTTTCTCCTGTAGGAAAAAAGGGGAAATAGAAACAAACAACAAGGATAACAGCAAAACCCCTCTCAACATGGTGGTTCATAATCACAGATGTGTGCCTAGAGATCAGCACAGGTTCAGATTGACCTCCTACAGTGATAATTCGGAAAAATGATAATAATGTACTCTAGACCCTGTTATAACGCAATAAAAAAAATCAAAACAGCTTTATTTAGACAAAAGCAGACACTAACATTTCTCATAAGTTTTCATTATGACTTTTATAACATGTTTTTCTTTTTTTTCACCCCATTTATTTGTTTTATTGCATTTTAGGTTTTGGGGTACATGTGAAGAACATGCAAAATTGTTGCATAGGTACACACGTGGTAGTGTGATTTGCTGCCTTCCTCCCCATCACCTACATCTGGCATTTCTCCCCTTGCTATCTCTTCCCAGCTCCCCACCCCCCACCGTCCCTCCCCTATTTCCCCCCAACTGACCCCAGTGTGTAGTGCTCCTCTCCCTGTGTCCATGTGTTCTCATTGTTCAACACCCACCTATGAGTGAGAACATGCGGTGTTTGATCTTCTGCTCTTCTGTCAGAACATGTTTTTCTATTGGATACTCAACGTTTAAATGAAACCATACTTTCCAGTTAGTAAAAGTTCTACAGTATATGGATATCAGTGACCATGGAGAGCCCTACTTCTCTTGATAGAAGAATAAAGATAAACAGAATAAAACTTTACCAGAAAGAATTTAGCAGGAGAAGTGCCTGATGGAAAGAGACATAAAGTCCTGAAGTTGTTGTCTAAGTGGCATAAACTCCTCACTGCTCTGAAGCACCTGCCATCAGAGACAGAACCATCTCCAGACAGCCTGACAGTTCAAAGAAACAGAAAAAACAAAAATTGGCCCTGTGACACATTGATTTTGTGCTTACTCTTTTATCCCTCAGGCTAAATATTTTTGAATACCCATTTGATGTGCTAACTAATAAAAGCAGAGTCCATTCTTTCCATAAATAAATGATTTTGTTAAGAATTCAAATCAGACGTGGCAGAAGCTCCCCATTTGCTGATTGCTAATGTATTTTAACCATGACATACATTCTTACGTGATCCAATTCAGCACAGTCTCTTTCTTAAAGATGGAAATGCCAGATTTGGATGGCGTATGTTTAATCTAGCCAAGGGAACATATTTCCTCCCCGAAACACGGCCCTGACAGCAAGGCAAAGTGTGATGAAGTTGTGTCACAAATAGGTGCGGCTCAATCCATCTGGCAAGGGGGAGACTGTGCTGCCTAATTAAGAAAACGTAATGATCTGATCTCATCAAACATCCATTTACAGTTTTGATAAGTGAAGTTATCTCGTTCAATTTCTGCAAATGATTCTGAGCTGGTATCCCTAACAAAACCCACAGGGCTTGGGGTGTGGACCTAGAGTTGATGAAATTTGTACACATTTAGGTCAGCAACGCATATTGTGGTGAAGGGACGCCACACGATTTTCTGAAGATTCTTGGCCAGTAACTTGCGAAACACTGAACTGATTTGCTTGGAAATTTTTTAAATAATTGGCTCCTGCTGGCTGAGGCCCCATGCCAACACCGTATGGTAATTCATTTGTAACATTCCTAGAAGAGAGAATCTGCCGGAAGAGCTGCAGTAATATGTTTAGGGAATAATCATGCCATCCTCCAAATAGAATGCATAAAAGGAAGCAAACAGCAGGAGGCCAGCAGAGAGGCCTCTGGGTTTCCAGGGGAAGGACTCTCAATTTAAATGGAAATTTTGTAACTCTTCCTCCCCTTCTCCCTTTCCAGGCTCTGAGTAAGAAACTGGCTGGGACTGTTTCAAGACCAAGTTTACAATCTTAGAAATGATTATTTACATCTCCAGGATTTGCTATTTATTGACCAAGGCTCTGGAGACTATGATAGTGACTTTGCAAGGAATCTACTTGAAGCATCAATTTCTGGGCCTTTATAGATGTCATTTGATGCTTGGGAAGCTTTTCAAGAAATACATGCAGCCTTTAGGAAATAAAGGAAAGCACCAAGGTAGCCCAACTGCTCTGAAAATGGTTAAGAATTGTATCGCAGGCCGGGCGCGGTGGCTCAAGCCTGTAATCCCAGCACTTTGGGAGGCCGAGGCGGGTGGATCACGAGGTCAAGAGATCGAGACCATCCTGGTCAACA